GTCTGGACTCCCTCTTCCTATTATGTTGGGCCTGTGAGGCCCAACTCAGCTTTGTTTGTTCTGATGGGCCTTGGGCTGGATGTGTCAATTTTTGGCCCAAACACTAAGTTTTAAGGATTTTATACAATTCACAACAATTTTCTTAAGTGATGAGTTTGTTTTTACATATGAAAGATGGAAGCATGTTTTATTCAAACCGTTGATAGTGATATTAAGGTTTCATATGGCCAATGTTATTTTAATAATTTTCTCGTTTTCCTACTTATTTGTAATGAGTTATTATATATATATATATATATATATATATACAATTAATAACTCTATGTGATGAGTGGAAGATTATTCAAAAATCAATATCTTTTGCTTGAGTTTCAGTGGATTGATTAGAATTTGAAGGTTTTGGGTTTTGGGAAAGTGTGAAGAAATATTTGATTTATGTGCTTACATGTGGGTTGAAATTTGTTTTCGTGTTGAAAGAACTACGTGTGGCTTGATCCCTCAGTAAGGGTACGTAGGCAACCTAGGTGCAGCCGCAAAATAAACAGTTGAGTTATGCTTTAGAATTTGTGGCTTTTTGTAAAGTAAGAAACAAATTTGTAGATTACGTTGATATTACCTTGGTAAGGTTGAATTTGAGGCTGGAGGCCCATCTGGTAAAGTGTGAGTTAGCGTTGTGCATGCTGAGTTGGAAGATATTAAACTGTGATTTTTACAAGTGAAAATAATTTGGTAAATGTCAGTTTTTCAGGGGAGACTCTGTCGGTTTTCCGATAGAAGTCAAATCCTAAAGCAGTTTTTGGATTAGGGCAAGAAGGGGTATTTTGGACAATTGTGCCGATACTTGCCAGGTGTTGGTCAAGCACAGGGTTAGACACAGATTCCAAAGTGAAATTTGAGTCAGGTCCTATCATAACTAACTGGCGTAACTCACTAGGTTTGGTTTATTTCATAGATTGTTTGGATAAGTTTTGAGATGAAGATTCTCAAGAAAATGGAGGTAGGTTTTGCAGTGGAGAGTGGGGAAGTAGTGAGAAATAAAAAATTATTGAGGGGTTATATTGAGGAGTCATAATGAAGGGATTTAATTTAGTATTTTATTTAATCGAAGTGCTATTAAAATTCCAATAAATGGGTAGAGGAGACAAGACTATTTTTGCCTTTTTATTTCTCCATTATCATTTTTTTCTTCTTCACCATATTATATTCTGTTTCAACTCTTTTGTACCCAACAAAATGAAAACTATACAAAGTTAATCATCATTATAATCTCTCACCAGGAGAAACACTTACATGAAAAAGGGATAACACTATTTTACTATTTTTGACCAATTGTGTTATGTCACATGTAATAACTTTTCCACGTGGAAATATGTGATTGGCCAAAAATAACAAAACAATATTATCCCCGTTTCATACAAAGTTTTTTTGATTCACCATAGCCTCTGAACAACTTATGGAATATGAAGTTTTGGGATGTACGAAGACTTCTGGGTCTGGTTGGTGTGGGGCTACATTGGGCCGTGGACGTTTTTGAAGCTTCTTTTTGGCGGCAACGGAGCATATGGAAGGAAAACAACAATTTCCCCAAATGGTCCGGTCCATCAATTTTGATCACAATTTAATTTTGGTCCCTAGACTTTCATAAAAATGAAATTAGAAGCACAAATCCTATCTTTTCCCAGAATATTAGTTAGCAACTTTTAATACTTTCAAAACTGATTTCTAATATCCAAAGCAACTTTTTTTTCATAAAAAATACATGCGTTTTGAATGTCGTCAATGAAAATCCAATTTCATTGAAATCACTATCATCCGAGTAGTTTCCATTAGAATCATAATTACATTCGCCAGAACAAGCAGAACAGTCACAGTCCTTGTAGTCACGACCAGCATCAGTTAATCCATAAGGAAATTCGTAGTCATTGGCTACTGACTCAAGAAATTTGTAGCCATCGATGGAATCTTCGGGAAGCCGCAATTGTGTAATTCGTTGGCACATTTTTCTCCCAAAGTTCTCGTCAGATCAAGATTAAAACATTGGCACAGATCAAGTGACTCAAGATGAGGACAAGACGTACGTAAGAATCTTCCTAAAGCCATAATTAGTGAGCCGATTCCCGAAAAGTTGAAGGTGGTGTAAACCGCTCATCGTTCCGGCTCTAGCAAGTGCTTCTTCATCATGCTCATAGGGTAGACAATCTACGCCTTTGTATTTGGACCAGCGGCCGTTCAATTTGAATGACTTCAAAAGAGGGCAAGAGCGACCAACCACTTTTATAGATGTATCTGAGAGATGGCATAAAGAGATCTCAAGCTCCTCTAACAGAGTAAGCTTTGAAGCCACTTCACTCAACCCCTTATCAAATATCAAATCGCAAGACACTAGCCGGAGACGCTTGATACCACCGCAACTATTGACAAATGTTCAAAATCAACTAGACGGCCACAGCTACGATCCACTGCGTGGCGGCACATCGCATCCAAGCCGTCCAACATGTCTTCAACGTAATCACCATCGTTGCCCATGCCCATGTCGATGGTGAGCCACATGAGAGGGTCCTTGCAGATGTTGCGCCAAGGCATGCACACCTTCTGCGCGCTCTCCAGAATCTCGACCGCTCTGAGTCGGGAGAGTATCGAAACGGTGACGTCCCATGGAAGGTCCAGCCAGTTTCGCATTTTGGCTGGGGGTGCGGGCACTGGCGGACCTAGAATTTTTTTAGTAGAGGTGCAATATTGACTAAGTATGAAAAATAGAGCCATCATTTTTAGCTTAAATCGTATTTTGCACTAAAACCGAATTTTCATATTTTGATTTGGTGGGAATTTGATTTTCTAGTATTTTTATTTGAATCCAAATGGGGGGTACTTCCTTATTTACATTGTAAACTTAAGTAAATGGAGTAATATAAAAATAAATAAAAGTAAAAGGACAGAGACATTTACTTAAATGTTGAAAATGGAAATAAGGTAATCTGTACACCAGTTGAGCAAAGGGGCAATTTGAAGCACCCACAATAGTTTTTCCGGCAAGGGGAGGTGCAGCTGCACCTCCTTGCGCCTTGCTACGTCCGCCAGTGGGTGCGGGGGTGGTTCTAGTTCTATGGAAAATGGAGGATAAGGGTTTTGCCGGTGGAGAGTGGGAAGCAAGAAACAAGTGATCAAATATATAGAGTTTAGGGTTTAGGGTTTCAAATATTTATCGTGAAAAACGACTCTCTATTCAAATATTTATACACTAGATGTCTTAACGATAACTAGACAATGTAAAAACTATCGTGAAAAAAAAAAACTTATATTTAGAAAAAAAAAAAAAAAAAAAAAACTCATCGTGAAAAACGACTCTCTATTCAAATATTTATACACTACATGTCTTAACGATAACTAGACAATATAAAAACCAACCATGCTAACAACAATCACATTTTTATACAATATATAGATGCAAATAAGCCACCTCCATAATCCTCATTATTCCCTTATGTAATAAGCTCAATGTAAACAACCCGGAAATAGTCTGTTGGTAGACAAATTCAAGATCTCACTGGGATTGGATGAATGAAGCTTTTCATTTTCTTTCCCCACCCCCTCCCCTCGAAATTAAACACCACTGCATCTGCATCAAAGATTTGAGCTGCTAGACGGTGTCCAATTCGAACAAGGTAGCGAGAGAATAGAATTTTGGAAAAATCATCCTAGAAATCACTCTCATCTGAGAAGCCTCGGTCATTATAAGCCTCGTACGCGTAATCATTAAGATCATCATAACAATTAGGATCCTCACAATCATTAGAGCCAATATACTCCCAAAAATTAGCAAAACCATATGGCGTAGCAGGAAATTCATAGTCATCAATGGAATCATTGGGAAGCCGCAATTGTTTAATTTGCTCAGTGCATCTTTTTCCCAAATCTCCCTCCAGATTAAGATTGAAACAGTGGCGCAGATCGATCGAGATGAGGACAAGAGTCAAGAATCTCCCTCAAGCCATCATTGGTGAGCTGGTTCTGGCCAAGTTGAAGGTGACGCAAACCGTGCATCGTTCCTGCTATAGACCGCACCTATTTTCGACAAATTTTCTACAAATTTTCGACAAATTTACTCACACAAACAGAAATACATGTATTACATACAAATGGTCTTAGGTTCCAACCCTCATGTTGGTGATACAGAAATTCGGCAAATAAAATACCTGTCGGTGATATACTTAAGGAGATCATCGGTGCAGTTGTGCTCGATATTGACATCGACCAGATTACCACAGCTACGATCCACTGCGTGGCGGCACATCTTATCCAAGTCGGAGGCCCAGAGGTTGAAACCACGATTGTTGCCCATGTTGACGGTGTGGTGCGCCAGGTGAGAGTATTGAAGCGGTGATGTCCCGGGGAAGGTCCAGCCAGTTTTGCAATTCGGCTGGGGGTGGTGGTGGTGGTTGTTGGGGGTGGGGGGTGTTCTGGATTTCGATTTGGGTTTGCCCTTTGAGCGGCAGGTTTTCTTGTTTCTTTTCTTGCCCATCAAGTTTTGGTTTGGTTGTTTGGATTGTGGGATTATGCGGGAAAGTTTCGAAATGGGGATTCTCGGGAAAATGGAGGATTTGGAGAGTGGGAAACAAGTGACGACTGATCAAATAAAATGGTTTTTGGCCTACATTGATCGGACCGTGAATTTCTTGTTTTGTACACAGGTCGTGCCATGGACTCACTTTTTTTTTTTTTTTTTTTTTTTTAAAGGTTCTTGTTGGTTTTGCCACCGCATATACAAGGTAAACTACAATTTCACCAAATAGTTCATAAAATTTGATCAATATTTCATTTTGGTCCCTAGACTTTCATAGCAATGAATTTTAAGAAGCACAAATCCTATATTCTCCCAGAATCCTTGTTATAGAAAAACTTTCAAAACTGGATTCCTAACTTTCAAAGCAACTTTTTCATTCAAATACACCCCTTTTTGAATGGTGTCAATGAAAATCTAGATTCAACCTTCATCTACTATATTATTTCATATCAAGTTGTCTTTTTTGTTTCTTTAAAATAAAAATAAAAATAATTAAACAACAATGACCAGGGACATGATAATAAAAAGCTCTTAAACCTAAATATACATAATCAACCAACTTTCCATGATCAAAATAGAAAACTTGACATTGTTCTCATAAAACAGCAAGTTTACAAGGGCAATCCAAAAAGTTTCAGCTCTCACTCTCCCTCCAAATTCAATACTACTCTCTGTTTCCCAGATTTCAGCTGCTAGACGGTCTCGAATTCAAAACAGGTCAGAGAATCGAATTTTGGTAAAATCATCATAGAAATCACTATCATCCGAGTAGTATCCATTAAAATCATAAGGATAATCATCATCACAGTCAAAGTCCTCAGAATCATTATAAAATCCATAGTCACATGGTGCAGTACGAAATTCATAGTCATCAATGGAATCATTGGGAAGGCGCAACTGTTTAATTCGTTCAGCACATCTTTTTCCCAAAGCTACCTTCAGATCAAGATTGAAACAATGGCGCAGATCAAGTGACTCAAGATGAGGACAACAATCAAGAATCTTACTCAAGCCATCATTGGTGAGCCGATTCCCGAAAAGTTGAAGGTGGTGTAAACCATTCATCGTTCCTGCTATAGCAAGCGCTTCATCATCTTTCCCGAAAGAATCAATCACAGGGCCACCATTCTCATCACCATTCTCATCATCATTCCAATCATCAAATCCATCATAGGCACCAAACCCACTGATCCCATAAACCGAAAATTCGGGCCTGTTCAATTTGAATGACTTCAAAAGAGGGCAAGAGCGCCCAACCATTTCTAGAGATGTACGTGACAGATTGCATACATAGATCTCAAGCTCCTCTAACAGAGTAAGCTTCGAAGCCACCTTACCCAACCCCACGCGTGATATGCTATAGCAACTAACTAGCCGGAGGCGTCTGATCCCACCGCAACTATAGCCATTACACAGAAACAGAAACGCAGCCAAACAAATTCTACATCAACATAATATCATTGGAATTTGGAAGGAGATTCCAAAAAGAACAAAAAAAACGATCAAGGAAATCTAAATGGGTTACTCTGTTCCTGTGCAATTTTTAATTTCGAATTGAATATAACATCACAAAAAGACTAATTTTAGGGAATCTATCGAGCAAAGTTCAAGAAATTAATAAAATCTTCACACCAAAACAATCTACAAAATAAAATTTTGAATACCTGTCAGTGATATACTTAAGCAGATCGTCGTCGCCGAAGTGCTCGATATTGACATCGACCAGACCGCCACAGCTACGATCCACTGCGTGGCGGCACATCGCATCCAAGTTGTAGAACATGTCGTCGTAATCGGCATCGTTGGCCATGTCGATGGTGCGCCACATGAGAGGGTCCTTGCAGATGATGCGCCAAGCCATGCACACCATCTGCGCGCCCTCCAGAATCTCGACCGCTCTGAGTCGCGAGAGTATCGAAACGGTGACGTCCCGTGGAAGGTCCAGCCAGTTTCGCATTTCGGCTGGGGGGGTTCTGGATTTGGGTTTGGGCCTCCAGACGAGGGTCTTCTTGTTTCTTTTCTTGCCCATGAGTTTTGGTTGTTTGGATTCTGGGATTGTGCGGGAAAGTTTCGAAATGGGGATTCTCGGGAAAATGGAAGATTAGGGTTTGCCGCTGGAGAGTGGCAAAATCACTGATCAAATACGAAGTTTCGGAACAAGTGCGATACAAGCGTTTTGGTTGGTTCTGGGCCTACATTCGACCGTGGTTTTTATTTATTTATTTATTTTTATAAAAAGGTTTATATCCGTACTTTTTAAATGCTTGTTATTTTGTGCACCAAAGATTTTTTAAAAAAAAACACCCAACGGATCTAGTCTAGTGATAAAAGAAAGCAAACTGGTAAAAAGACCGACCACGTGGAGGGCGCGAACCGAAAAGCTCAAGTTTTGTTCACAAAATCCCTAAAATAAAGGGTCTTAATTTACAGACTAATGATTTTAGAATCAAACATCCGCGGCACCTTAGAAGAAAAAAAACACTCTTACTGATAATTGGGCCAGACCATGACTTGTAGGTTTGGTTGATTGTACGCTTGTTTAGGCCCAAGATGGCACGAAAGAAGAAACAACCTAAAGGTAAATAGCCAAAAACAATATATTTACCTACCTAACCACAAAATTTGAAACACGTGAAGCTGCGTTTAAAAACAAAAAAAATACCAGCATGTTGTAGAACATAATAATGTGTGTGCATGATGCTACAGAGGTGGTTTTTTTTTCTTTTTCTAAATAAGTAATCAAGTGTCTTATAAAATATATATGTGATTAGGTACAAGTGTGTGTGTGTGTGTGTTTGTGGCAAAAGAAAAGGTACAACTGGGTAATGCTATTTGTTAATAGAGCTTGTAATTGTGGCGTTAATGGTGGTCAGTACCACATGCATGGGATGGGATTGGAGATATGATTCCATGTCTGGTCAACAAGGAATGACTAAGGAAGAGATATGGTAACATGCTTTTGGGTGGAGTCTTCTGTTTTATTATTATTATTATTATTCTAAACAAAAATAAATATTAGGTAAGAAAAAAGGATCCAACAAAAGTTCTATGGATGTCATTAGTCCATATATATATATAAGTTATATTGAAGAATGAGAAAATCTAACAAATAATTTCGTGTGTGTAAAAACTCTTAACCATTTCAATTACAAGTTCCTTACTTATTTTATATGTTTTGTTAAATCTGTTCGGTTTCTATTTCAAACCAACAATTTTCTAGTTTTTTTTTTAAATTGTCCGCGAGCAAATTAGGTTAAAGAGAGCTGATTCAGATTTATGCAAGTGCAACAAGAGGAACAAAAATGACTGCATGGGAACCACTCCACCCATTTTTTTGGGTGTAAGAAAGTCAAAGCATCCAATGCCAAAGAAAACGTCAAACTGTCACCAATAATTGCGCATGATTGCAACCAAGAACCAACAATTCTCCCAACGAGCCAAAACCATCAGAACATATTCTCAATATTACACAGCTTGAGGAGGTTTTTAACAACAACACCACCACCAACAAGAGAGAGGAGAGAGAGAGAGAGTGCAAAAGCAGTTTGCAGTCTCTCTTTTTGGATCTCTCAAATATTATATCGTAGTAAACTAGTGCATGATTTAGAACAAATTAATTATCCAAATTAAATAAGAAAGAAAAGAAAACTACCCTTTAATTACTTGTGTTCGATCTTGATCCACCATTGTATCATAAGATTCATACTTTCATCTTATATAGTCTATCAGCTCCATTCCCCTGAAGACAGAAGATCCTTTCGATCGTGTTTTCGGGGTGAAAATGAACCGAATTCGAGCTTTTTCATCACCTGCAGTGTTGCCATTGCCAGCTTCTTCCACAACTCCGAAAGAGCGCCCAGAAGATCATAGTTTTGATGGTAATTAATCTAATTATATGCATTCTGAGCTTCATTTCTCAATGCCTGCATTTTTGTCATGAAAGTCATTGCAAAATGACATCTCTGTGTGTGGTTTCTAATTGCAACAATTTGCTTTCATTTAATAATGCCAACATGAATCAAAAGGAATTTTCCTTTCTTGTCAATCACAATAAATTTTGGCCAAAAAGAAACAGGGCATTGCATTACAATAGGTACTGATCTCTGTGAAATTCTTTGTTTAGGCATTGCCACCAATGTCAAGTTATTATTGAAGCTAATCCATGATCACAACGAGGCCTGCACAAAAGAGAATGATGACAGGAAGACGCAAAGGGTGGCTGGAATGATTACCATAATCGACGATGTTAAAACCAGGATTCAAAAATCTCAATCTATTGGCAGGAGGGCAGAGCTGAGGCGTTGCAACACAGATCTTAGGCCAAATGTTCCAAGGGACAAAAGGCCTACGGAGCCAATAATCGATGAGAAAGAGAGGTTGAGAAGGCAGCTTAGCGCGAGCTTGGCAGCGCGAAAAAGCCTAGAAATTATGTGTTCCAGTTTGGGAAAGGAGAAGGAGATTATTGCATCAGAGCTTGCAAGAAAGGTTCAAGAATTTAGTGGAATGGAGGAACACATCAATGATCTTAGAGCGCAAAATGAGAAGTTGTTGGCAAAAGTACAAGCTTGTGCAGCAGAGCACAAAGAGAAGAGGTGTGGTGGGGTAGAGATTCAAGGGAATGTGGCGCTCCAGGAGCGAAACAAGGCGCTTTCGGAGCAACTCCTTAAGTCCCTTGACGGGTGCAGATCCTTAAAGAGAAAGATTAAAGATGCACAGAAGGAAAACAATGGGATGCACTCGGCAATGGAGGAGATGGGGGTCGAAGTTCAAGAAGGCCTTGATCTAATACGAGCCCTCAAGGAAAAGATTACCACAAGTGATAATGAGCAAGCAACAGATGTTGAAGAGGAGATATCAGCATTGGAGCGTCTGTTTGAGTGCTTCAGCACGAGGATCTCCAAGCACGACCCGAAGAAAGGCGAATTTGCAAAACACAACACCGAAATTGATGCTACATAAATAGCATCCTGCCACTTGCATGAGAACAAAGGGTGACTAGAAACCAGAAATGCCTGGTCTCTCCACTTTTGCAATTTTGTTGGTTCTGTTTCTTTTTAGTTGCCAGGACAAGACGGAACTATTCCTTCTTGGAATTACATAAATAAAAGAGGGGAAGGCAGTTGTAATGTTTCAGAAGTAGAAGAGAGATTAGTGATGCTGCATAATGTTGTTGTTCATGTTGCAATTGACTAGTTCAGGTTTCTAGGTTGCATCTACACTGTCCCAATCGGAGTTGTCTAATTCCAAGTTTTCTTCTCGTCCTGGATATCAAAGAGTTGACAAATGAAGAGATGTACAGCACATAAGTGGAAACTCATACGACAATGTGGTAATCGAACCCGTCTTCCTCCTTAGACAATAGTTGCAGGCATAGTCCCAAGAACAGTGGCCTGACCTGCAATGGAATGCTTTGGAAATCTCAGTTGCTTCCTTACCAATCTCCATTCCAAGGCTCCGAGATAAGCACAAGCCTGTACTTATTGCCTAATGTCCTATAGGTACCACTTGTGAGTTGTATAATGAAGATTATTTTACATTGTAAAACTCTGTGACATACAGAAAGATACTGTTTGTCTACAAGATTATTCATCATTCACAAAGTGTCGCGCATCATAGGATTTAGGTTCAAAATTTAATGCCTTGTGCCCTAAGTTTTAACGTTTGTCCTTGTGCAACTCTGGTTCCTATTAGTATAGGACTGGTACTTAGTAAAGGATTAGAAGTTACAAATTATTGGAAGCCACCAAGGATGACATTATCATTTATGTTTACTGTTAAGAACCACAAAATAAATACATTAAATATGAAACTGAATTCTGGAGAAGTTTTACACATGTACAGGGCTTCTGTAATATATACTATTCAGAAAAACTTTGTAACTTGCAGGCAGCAATGGAGTTCAAAATCCATGAATTGCTTGCTGCCTTGGCTCCAGCAGAACTGGCCAAAGCCTTTGCATCAGACTGCCTGCGGTCCAATATTGTACCCTTGCTAGGATGACCCTGCTCGGGTTGCTCAAAGCTGTAAATTATGAAGGTTTGACATTTTGGGGAAGTGGCTGAAAAGGGTTTCTGGCCCTCCGGAACAGGCTTTCTATGCAGAATAGTTCCTCCAGCAGCTATTACTAGGTCTTGTAGATAACCCTTATATGAAGGTACAAAGTCTCCCATAAAGTAAAACTTGAATCCGTCAAAAAGCTTTGGTTGCTGCATGTAAAACAGTTTGTTAGAAAGAAAAAAATGATTCCAATCACTGTAACAGGTACTAAACATTTTGATTATGACACTAAAGGAAAAGCCAACCTTGTTCTGAAGTCTTAGTCTACCAAGTCGAGGACCATCCCTGATTCCATAAATGTCGATGTTAATTTCATAAGGCTCCTCATTAACTAGTTTCATGGCTTCTATGCAAGCATTAATCCCTGTACAAACAGAAAGACATAGAAAGAGAGTAGATTATCAGTAACAGTGCGCACATGTATACAAATCACTCATTTTAGGCTTCTGTTCTTGAGGAAGAACATTTAAAATAGAAACAATAATACTCACATTCCATACTCAGGATCCACCTCCCCTCCAAGATACCCATCAAAACTTTGAGGGTTCTTCTGCATGCTCCATTTTCATCGACCGACGCAATAACATGGGTGACACTAGAATCCCAATTCTTTAAAACTGCAAGTCCAGATAATCTTTCAAACCCAGAAACAGATTCCTGCAGTTCAAGCCAACCAGGAATAATGGAATTCTTTAGACCGTTTCAATTTCTTAAAGGAAAAGAAAGAAACAAGGAACAAAGCAAACACTCTAAGCAGCTCTTTACCTTCTCTGCATTTGAAAGAGATGAACAACAGAGAACTAATTTCTTGGATGATCCACAAAATTTCTGATCTGGAGGCATGGTGTTGTCTTGTTTAACAGCAGCTTTATAATGTTCAGCATTAGTTTGTCTACAAGAGAGAGAAAAAGGCATAAATGAGAATCTTAGAATATCAGAATTTGTTGTGATACACATTAGATCTTCAGGGAAAAGTTTTACATACCTTCTAGGATTGCTCTTCCTCCTCCTTGCTTGAGATTCAGAGCTTTCATTTGGCAATTTAGAAGAGGCATGAAGGGGGCATAACATAACAAAATTATCCTGATTCAAGACCTTTAGAATTAAAATAGAATCGTGGAAAAACATTAAATGAAAATAAAACTTCTTTTCATTATACATACAGTATCCCATCGACACTGAGGCATCAACTTTGCACAGGTGACATGAAAGCTCTTACGACAACTCCTCTCATAACACCCAAGAGCTGCTCCTTTAATTTCACAGCAAGAACATTTAATTCTACGACTCCTAGTTAACTCAGCTTCAAGATTAACAGCAGTATCATCTTCAAAATAGACATTGGGAGCCCTGCACATATTTTTGAGCATTTATAAGTTGTAAGTATCTAAAGAATCTAGAGTGGACTTTCACAGCCCATCCAACCCTGTCATATTTCAAGGTCACAAATAATAATGTCTGAAATTGGCTAAGAAATTGCATCACACCTTCTCCTCATTTGACTGAGGTTCAAAAATGTTAATTTGGAATGCAAATCAATAATCAAAACTAAAAAGAAACAGAAAAAACAAGAGCCTGAGCTTTTGTACATAAATGCATAAACAGCAATGTCTGCATGCATTGACAGTTACGAAAACAAATAAAATTTGAAGGGCTAGGAAAGCAAAGATGCTTGTGTAAATAAATTTATTTCAATCATGAAAACTTGTTAAACAGAAACTTATTTATAAACATAATCTTGTTTTGGCTAAATTGCAGGATTTCTTTTCTTTATACCATTCAGTGCAGATCCTGTGTGCATGAATAACCTTGAGTCCTCCATTGTGATCCACAGCAACAGGCTTACCATTATAATAGTGGACTATCTCTCCAGACGCCTGTCATTTTTGTTTTTATTGTAATGGGTGTCAGCTTTGAATTCTAAAGATAAAATATGCAGATGAGGAAGGAATCTAAGTTATGAGTCACCCAAACAAATATATAGGGAAGGGAGTGAGGAAGACCTCTGATTCTTCTGATGAAAGACAGAAAGCACATTGGATTTTACTAGGAATGGCCTCACATCTCTGCAAGACCAAATTGTTTGTCAATGAAGGAAGCTTCTGCACTGGTGATCGATCAGTTGTGACATCACAATTGCCTTCGATCTTTTCAGTGGGTTGATTTCCATTTTCATTAACATTCCCATGACCCTCTCCAACCCTAACAAAAGTATCATCCTTTGAGTTGCCATCAGAGGAAACTTTCGCCTTTTTGTTATTCTTCAATTCTCGATCACATAACTTGGCTTCCCTCGGAAGTTTTCTGGATTTGTTCCCAAACTCAGAGGCTTTCTTGTTATCAACTGTAGAGAGATTTATAAGAGACGACTCAGTTGTAGTATCCTTATTTGCCTGCTTCTGTACTTCCGATACCTCCTCAAGCATTTTGTTTGGCATAGAGACCATCTTTTGCTTTCTTGACCTTACTGGGCAGTGCATCTGGCTCTTGGCATTTACCTCGTTACAGATTTTTCCAGCCTTCTTAAATGAAGTTGGTGATTCAGTTATCCCCCTGTCATCACCATTATTTTGAGTTTCAGCTTCTGTTGAGAGGACATGAACATTTTCAGATGTTGGCTTCATTACAACCACAGATGGATGTTCCTTCTTACTCCTTTTGGAAGTCTTGGCCAAAGAACTAGAATTATTCTTACATACTGGTTCTTCATAAAATACTTTAGATCCTTTTGAATTAACATTAACACTAACATCAGCACCTGGATCTGTATGACTTGTAGTGCATTTTCTTTTACTTATATTCCTTGTCTGCCTACCTTGCTTGTTCAATTCATTACTAACAACTTGACTATCGTCTTTCGTTCCAGCAGGGGGAATATCTGGCAGAAAATACATATTTCCACTACTTTGTCTAGAATTTTTAGACCTTGCACTTTTAGCAGAATGTGCTTCATCTAATTTCTTGTTTTGTGAGATTTCTTTCAGTTCCTTCACTTGAACTCTATCAATATCATCGTTGTCTGGAACCTACATTTCAATTTTATTTTAATGAAAGCCATGATTTGCCCGTGCAAAATTGGAGGACTTTACATATTAGAATTTGTAGAAGAGAGAAATTACATGAGGTAAAAATGAGCTGATACCTGCATCTTAGAAGGACTTTGGAAGAGTTCAGGGGAGCATTCTCTTTGTGTCCATTCAAACATCTCACTATCAAATAAATCTGCAATATTTGAAGCTTTTCCATGCACTTCGCCCTACATGAGATTATCAATGCTTAAGATAACTTTATGGCATCGCCAAGATGTTTCAAAGAAATGTAAAACTTCATAATTATTCATAGCTTGATCGAGTTAATTTTTTCATTCACAAACTACAGAATTCAATTACATAAACAGAAATGAGCAGTAAATGGGAAGGTCAACTAGCTAAAATAAAAAAATCAGATTCATTTCCATTGCAGCACATAGCTAAAATAAAAAAACCAGCCCAATAATTTTGCATAACTGCCAGGTCAACTAAACAATATTACAAACCATTTCAAAGCAAGTATAAAGCAGGTTATACACTCACTGGTGGGGTCAATCTAGCAGAGTATTCATCTTCTGAGTCTTTGATATCACTGAAAGTAGGAACATTTGGAGGACTATCAGTGAGTTGATCACCATCAGTATGCTGACTCAAATTTTCTTCATCCTTGTCTTTCAACCAAAAGAAAGGTGAAAGCATCGGTTCTCCCACTTCATTTAGAACTGGCTTCCCCTTTAAAGTTGTTGAACTGTGCTTAGACCTTTCATCCATTAGTTTACCAACTGTCTTTTCAGGGCGTGTAGGAGTTTCTGAAAGAGGACACTGTGGAACCTGAACCCTTTTCTTGGTTGGAAATGAAGGTTTAACTGAAAGAGAACCCGAATTTTTCAGGTTGGATTTAGTTTTCCTTGATCGTTTTCCTCTTAAGGATTTCTGTTTCTCATCTCTATCCTGACAATGTTTAGGGATATCTTGCTCATCATGATCATCATCTTGGGCTTGCAGTTTTCCGTCTGTAATAAAGGAATTCGCACGTTAGACTACACTTTATACATAATAACATCTCAAATACATGTACAGGAAAATACCTGATGATTTAGTTGAGGGTGCATTCTGAGTGACAAATATATTAATTCCTGAAGCAACCTCCATGCTTTTGTAAATACCAACCAAATTATCCATGTGTGGAGCAGGACGAATCTCTGCAACAAAAGTTATTAATAAGAACAATGGACTGTACAAGAACCTGTTTTAGTCACAAAATAGAAGGATCCTACCTCTGCGCTGATATGGAATTTTACAAACGGGACAATTGGAACCCGATTTCATTGATTTCACAATACAAGAGCTGTAAACAAGAAGCAAACAACAGTGATGGGTTCAAGTATATTCCAAGTTTTCATACAGCTGAAATTAAACCTAAAATTTATATGCAAATAGCAAGGAAGGAGGAGATTACTTGCAGAAGACATGATTGCAATTAAGTGAAACCGCAGAATTCAGCAGACTCAAACTGTAAAACAGATAGAGGAAAATGAACCCATTAGCCAAATCAAAATAAATTTCAAAACTTACATACGAATTCTATGCAAAATCAAGTTACGGATCTGTTTGGCTGCCAAGAAGTTATTATAGCTCCGAACACTAATAGAGTTTTAATACAACAACAAAACAAAGCTCATTTGATATACAAAATAATCAGAAATCAGAAATAGTCGGAGTATTTTGGTACAGATAGAGTTACCAAATGGGGCACTTGAGCTCTCTGCCCATTTTCTCGAGGTGGGCCGGAGTCTCCATTTTCGTATCCGAGAGAAAGATTGAACAGAATGACAGATCGAGAAGAAGAAGAAGAAGACGACGGAGTGTTTTAATTTATCATGTTTTTCTTTTTTATATTTTCAAGATGAAGCTTCGTTTCGAAGCCCCAGTTTGAACTTTAGCCCGCCAAAATTTCACGCGCCTCGCTTTCGCTTCTTCGCGGCTTTTGAATTTTTAACTTTAGGGCTCGTTTGCCAATTAAGGGTTGGAATTTGGAATGTGCTATTTCTCTTCTTCTTCTTTTTTTTTTTTTTTTTCAGATAATTGCAATTTAATATTATGTTCCAACAAAAAAATAATAATAATTGAATTTTCTAATAGATCATTGCATTTTAATATTCTTTGATACTTTTTAGATCATTGCAATTTACTATTTCAATTAAATATCTTAATTTTCTCATATAAATTGTTGTGTCATTATCTAATAGGTTTTTCAATAAATGGGCACAGAAAATTTTAAAAAGCTTCATTCAAACAAAGGTGACAAAATAGGAATAAGAGGGATTAATCCCACTAATATCATTCTCCTTTCCTATTTTCATAAGAAAATAAGGATATGTACAAAATCGATGAAACACATAAGATGCGCCAACGTACACCTTGAGCCATTGGGTAAGTTGGTATCTCACACATTTTTGTTAAACCATCTCTGTTTTCTGATTTTGTGCCTCTTCAGTTTTCTAAATATGTCAAATTAGTGGGATGAGTAATGGTGATATCAAACATCCGCAGAAAGTAATATCCGTTGAAATGAGGCAACCCATGCAAATACTTCAAAGCTTTTCAGAAATTGTCCTATTAAGAACTTGGAACACAAAAATGTTTAGAAGATAATGATATGACATTTGTAATTGAACTCTTTGGAGCTTAATATTTTGTCAAGGATTGCTATCAAAAAGCATAGAAGAGGCCATAGATTCGCAACAAATGACTGGCCAGTCAAGCCAAAAAATGGCCAAACTTTGCGTGTCATATGCAGATCTTCAATGGCAGCTTCATCCCTGCCATGCCACACCTCTTTATCATTTGAGCTCGACTCATAGAAGCAAAGCACTCCAGATGTTACCAGTAATCTCTACAAGAACAAGAACCATCTCTGAAATGGTGAAATCGACTACGATCCCTCACAACAATCTCCCGCTCATAAACCTTGGATATGAGTTTAATTGCAAGATGACAGTCTGCACAAACTCTCAAATTCTTCCAAATCCTAATTGGGATTCCTGATGCAGTATTTAGGATCATAAAGGCAATTGCAATTTTTTCACTATGGTAGGACAATGCATTTTCTTTTTCCTCCTCCTCTATGTCTGCAAGAACATTTTCTGTATGGGGCACGTACCCTTTCGGTTTCAACAGATTTGTGATCTCTGCTAGCATTGTGTATATCTTTTCACTTTGGGGATGAGATCTATCACCCATCGTAAACTCATAAATACAATTCCTCAACTCAACAATGCTATACCCTGGAGTTTTCCTCACCCCATCACTAAGCATTGTCCTCCTCACCTTTTGCACATCTGACCAACGACGCTCAGATGCATAGAGATTGGAAAGGAGCACATAATCTCCACTATGTCCAGGCTCTAACTCTCGGATGTGGGCTCTTGCAGTCTCTCCGAGAGCCAAGTGCCCGTGTATTGTGCATGCTCCTAACAAGGTCCTCCAGATAACAGCATTGGGCTGCATGGGCATGTTGTTAATGTATTCATATGCTTCTTTCACTAAGCCAGCCCTACCTAACAAATCAATCATGCAACCATAGTGTTCTATTCTGGGGACAATTCCATACTCCTCCTTCATCATTCTAAAGTAATTGAATCCTTCATCAACCATCCCGCAATGACTACAGGCATACAAGACCCCAACAAAAGTGATCTCAGTAGGCACCAATCCCTCTCTCCTCAACTCCTTGAAAAGCTCAAGTGCTTCGTTACCAAACCCGTTAACAGCCAACCCAACAACTAAAGCAGTCCAAGAAACCACACTCCTTTCGTCCATCGTTGTGAACACCTTTTGTGCCTCTCTGATGCTCCCACACTTTGCATAAAGGTCCAGAAGGGCATTAGTAGCATGTGAATTCCCGGTCAAGCCCACCTTCAGCATATACACATGGATCCTCCTACCCAAAGCCAAAGTTCCAAGCTCAGCACAAGCAGACAACAAGCTAACCATGGTGAACCCATCTGGCTGAACACCCTCCAAACTCATATCCCTGAAAATAGTCAAAGCCTCATTGGGCCTCCCGTTCAAAGCAAACCCATTAATCACAGAATTCCAAGCCACAAGGTCTCTCTCAGACATTGACTCAAACACCCTGTGTGCACTCTCAACATGGCCACAACATGCATACATGTGAAGCAAGGTGTTCTTAACAAAGACCAATGACTCAAACCCATTTCTCAGAGCAATGGAATGTATCTTCTCACCGTCTCTAACATTCGTCAACTTAGCCACAGCCTTTAGAAGAAAAGGGTAAGTGTGTGTATCAGGTTCAACAGAATTCACATGCATTTGGTGGTAAAGTTGAAGAACAGGAGTTGGGTTCTCACTCTCAGCATATCCTCTAATCATGGTGTTCCATGTGAAGACATTAGGGCTTCTGATTTGGGAAAATATCTGGTGGGCATAGGGCATGGGGGCTTTGAGAGACACAGTGGTGAAAATGAGGTGTTTGCCCATGTCTGGGTTGCTGAGTGGAACACCATGCCTTACAGAGAAGGCATGGATTTGCTGCAGCTTCAACTTGGAGGATGCACAGCATTGCAAGAGAGCAATGCACTTTTGGAGAATATGTGGTTTTGGGTTTTGCGGGGAAGCTGGTGAGAGAGGTGAAAGTGAAGAGAAGAGGGTTTTGGGGTTGTGAGTTAAGGTTGTTGCTGAGAATGCATGTGGAAAAGATGGGTGGAGGAGTGAGGGCTGTTTTGGGAGCATTAGATCATGCTCCAATTGTTAGCTGCAAGTATGTATGAGTTGATTATAGTAGATAGTGTACTCGCATGTAATTTGGGCTTTGGGTTTGTTGACTGGGGCTGCTTCAAAATATTTAACATTTTATTTTATAAACTTTTTTTTTATCTAACTTAGTTTAAGTGAAATGTTGCAAAATATAAGATGTAAAGGTGAAGTTGTTGATTAGAATGCGAATTGAAACTGTTGATTTGGTGACATTGTATTAGAATGCGAGTAGCATGAAAACATTCGTAATTTTTTCTCTTTATTTGAAAGTTGAACTAAGAATCTATAATCTCACCCGATTCATTTCATGTCACTTAAATGGGTAATATGCCCAAAAAGATCAGTACTTTGAACTTTGAACTTTATAAGTTATAATAGAGCCACATTATCTTCTCTCTGCTTATAGATTAAACAGAGCGTGCCTTCATGAGGAAAGTGTCCACATAATTCTGTTAAAATAGTAGCAAAGCGCTATGGTAAAACTGCATTTGTCTAACTATATATCATAACCAACACTTATTGGCAAAGTTCATGGAGGAGGAAGAGCTATAAGTACAGGTAGCTCACTGTGCTCCTCTCCAGCTAATTACATAACACGAATGAGCAAAGAAAACAAAAAAAGGTGGCGGTGATCATAAAAGATCAATCAAAAAATTCCCATTGGGGTGTGGTTGGAGGGGGTTCAAATGTCTCCCACTTGGTCGTCACAACAACAGGCTTTACATTTGCATTTGATATCTTGAGCACATCCAAACTTTCTACGCATTTCTGCACCCTCTTGCCCTGGAAAAAAGCAACTTCCATAATTAGCCTTCTGATTGCGCTAAAATTAGCTCAAAACCTCAATATATATATATAGAGAAATTCTCCTATACAAACGTCCGGACATTATTACTGTAAGGACGCACTACCCTTCTCTCATTTCCTCTATGTTTACAATGGGCACGTCTGAATGAGGTAATAACTATATATATATATATATATATATGTATGTATGTATATTACCTGCAAAGTTTTTGAAGCAACAGCATCTCCTTCTGCAGAAATGTTGTCCAGCTTGATGGCTTGCCTCATGAGCATCTCAATCAGTGTTGTGATCTGAACTTCTGCTACTTTGACTCCATTTGAGATGGATTTTTCAATTGCAGAGACCTATGAAAGAAAGAGGAAACTATTAAATGAGTATTATGTGACCAAAAAGAATCAAAAGATAGGTAAGTGATGGCTGAAAAAGGACAATGCATTACATAAATATTTCATTTAGATTCCCATACTCTAGTGCAACTTTAAAATGTAGAAAACAACATCCATATTATTGTTCTAGGGTTGGAATATCTACCAAACATCTCCTTTAATAGAAGAAAAAAAAATGAAGAATCTAAGCTACTCGATACCATTCGTATGCATAATTGTATCGCTGGGAGATAAGACGTCAAGATCAAAACTTTATGATTAGAAGAAGTTTACACACCAAAATAGTTGGCTTAATCTATATATAATTAATCTTGCAAGCCTACCACATTTTAGTACATAACTATACTTTCTAGTTTCAATATAATTTGTGTTTATGCATGCAAAATTTCCACCCATTCTAACAAACAATCTCATGATGTACATCAAACCAAGCAATTATTCATCAACCACACACCAAGTCACCAACCAATGATGCACTGACAAATTTCAACTGGGCTCTCACAAATTTTTATTTATTTTTTGTTTTGAAAAGAAACTGGGCTTTCATAAAATCACCATGTTGGCCCCCATGGAAGCCCCCTGCTCATGATTAAGTTTTACATGAAACATGATCCACTGTGCAAAACAAAACAAAGTCCTGAGTCAATTCAGTCCAAAGGACCCCACTAAAACCCAGCTTAATGGTCAAGATTCTACACCCAAGCCCAGCTGTCTAACCCACTATTGATGCAATCATCACACTCCCAATCCAACGGCTGACCTCACACCAAATTTTTTTATCCAACTAAATAACAAGCCAACATAAAATAAACATTGACCCAGGGACAGAGTGAGGTCTGGGGTTTGCTTACCTGCTCCGCGAGCTTATCGACCTCCACGGACACGTCCGATATGGCGCGATGTGCGCTCTGGATCTTAGCATTTCGACGCATCTCATCGGCCCTTCTCTCGATGCTCGCTGGGTCCTGGATCAGTATGACTTTTGACCGGTCTTTGACCCCGCACATGTCCAAATACTCACCGTTTTCTCGCTCTTTTCCTCTGAATAATAGCCTCTGCTCGCCAGGCTGTAACCCTGTCTCTGCAGTCAGAACCTTCTTCAACTCCCCTGTACAGTAGATTTTGGTTCCAGTCCAGTCAATTCCCCATTGTAATTACCATTTTACCCTCACATTTCACCACCACTCACTCACCCAGAACCACCAACATTGCACTCTCTAATTGGATGACAACATAGTCAATTCAATTTTAAAGCAAAAACAGTAATCTAATCATTTTTTCCCTCCAAATTACTGATAATTACTGGTTTGTTTGGTTACCGAGAAAATGTGATTAAATATATTTTCTCGGGAGCCAAACAGAAAGCAAAGAATGACGTGTCAAAATACAGAATGCGAAAGGTTAAATCAAGCGAATTAATTACCGAAGGTGGATTGAGAAGCTGCCGAGATCTCGTACCGCAGAGCACCGAAAGCAATCCGAAGCCGTAAATTCGGAGCCGGAACGTCCGATTTCTCACCTCTTTTCTGAACCAGCATTCCTCCGGGTCTCATTTCCCACGCAACTTCCTCGTCCCTTGACGTCGAAGACGGCGCCGTATTGGAGCTATCTCTGGCTCTGCCGCACGAATTGGACCTTCGCTTCAACATTTTCCTGTTTTTGAAATTCGGCGGAATTTTCCGGGAAAATATCCTGGGGTTTTATGTTTGAATCTGTTTTCTCGGGAAAATATCTCTCCGCGGCATGAATTTGCGCTGTTTTCTGCCGACACAAACAGGGTGTCATTTTGGGGGGTTTTATAGTGTGGGTTTGGTTTCGAATACATAAGGGAAATGACAAGGGATATGTTTTGACCACTGGCAGCGTGCCACGTGTTGGAGTGCGTCAGGGTTGTGTGGAGTGACAGCTAAGCGGAGAGATATCGCCGACAGTCGAAGGCATTGAAGCATCCAAAGAGTAATTTGGTTGACACGTGGACAACAGTAATTGGGTTTTACTGTGTGGGGTCCTGCTTGGTTTCGTTTTCATTGGACGAAAATGTTTGCACGTGAAGTTATGTGGCACCTACGAATTGACGCGTGTAGCTTTCAGATGGATAATAAATTGTTGGTGAGGAAAGGGAGGTATTTGGCGTGATGGAGTTTAAGTCATTTGAATTTGATCCAAGGGTGGAGAGTGATGTATGGATTAATTTCAATATGCCGGAGATTTTTGCTTAGAGTTTTACTAATTTTGTTGTTAAGGGATAATTAAGGCCTAACAACTTATAGTTAGTGTGTGATATAATCAAAAGTGATTAAGCCCTTGACCAAACCAAATGTCTGTTTTTTGTGATTAGCAATTCGACTACGGTTCAAGAGCATATGATGATGTAGTAGCTGTGTTGTTTGAATTATATGATCAAAACATAATTACTATCATATTATGTTTAATTCTGAATCTAAGTGTTGAGTATTACTGATTACTCACTTTTTAAGTTTATTTTCATAGGCTTCGTTAGATGGACTTGTCATTATTGGATTGTGACCGGTTCTAATCGTAATAATCATTCACTGTAGCACTAGTAAGTAAAGTCCCACTTTTATTAAGAACACCGAACGGGAAACATAACAATAGTCTATTTTAATTGAAATAGTCTTTTACGATCGAAACTTACCAAGCCACCCTTATAGACCATAATCTGTATTTTTATTAGCAAGAAAAACTTGGGCAGCCGAATGATTGAATTGCCAGACATTGATGGGTTTAGGAGAAACCGGCCGATTTAAACTGTAATTATCTGTTTGGTTTGGTTTTGATCAAGAAAAAGTTAAACGGTTTAAAAATCAAATTGGATCGTATATGGTTTGATTTTGAGATTTTATAAACCGACTCAAACCAAATCGAATTGTTTATGTGTATATTTATTTATTTATATTATACTTTATATGTATAATACTTTAATTAGGTAAAAACTATATACGAATATTTGAATTGAGTTATATTAGTAATTAAAATTTGAAGTTTTATGGCATGTTGAGCTTTAGGATTGTTTCATACTCTAGAAAATGATTTAAGTATGGAGCAAGTGTGAACTTGTTGATTATAATTGGGCTAACAATGTCGAAAAATGCAAAAGGAAAGAGAATTGGGCTTAGACTCAAATTGTCTTAAATTGGTTTGGTTTGATTTGGTTTCTTTCATAACTTTTGTCAAAATTAAACCAAATCAAATCGTTATATTGTAATTGATTCAACCGTAATTTTAAAGTAAAATTAATCTAAATCGGACCATACCCACCTCTAAATGGCCACCTTTTCTAGATGAAAAAGACAAAACGGCACCAACTGTTTGAGTTGCTAGAAGTGACATATCGTACCAAACCTCATCAAAGACTTATCTGATCAAACACTGTTGGTGTTGTTGGGGTTGGTTGGAGAATTGTCTAGACTTTTTTCACACTTTAACTTTTCAATTGGAAAAATTACATTTAGACTGTCAATGGTCCCCAAAGACTTCACACTTTCGTAACATTGGTTTTACTTTCTAATTTTTTACTATAATCATATTATAATTTGAAGACCAAACCAAACCAAAAAAGCTTTGAAGTTTAAAGACCAGAGTGCCAAGGTCAAATTCATCTTCACAATATTTTAATTTTTGGGCCAGATGAGTTTTGAGCATCCCTTATGGGACTCAAAAGTAAAGATGAAAGAAAGAAAGAAATAAGTTTATATTTCATGCTCATATTATCATATACCTAAATTCCTTTGTGTATTTAGCATAAGGAAATGCAAGCAAACTGAGTTACTAAATAATTACCCATTTTATACCATGAAAAAACTAGAACGAGCGGTTATCCCTACGCATGAGATTTCGAATCCCCATATTCCAATATCGCTTGTATTAAGGAAAAAAAACCTATCATTAGAGCGGCTCCAATCGCAATTTATTTTTTCCATCTATCTTTTCCTTTAAAAGCCCAACAAAAGATGATTTGGGGGAAAATTTCATGAACCAAAAGCTCATGAATACCCAGTAGCCCAATATAACTAAAAGCCCATTACAGTCGGTGACTTCTAGTTTTAGGTTCTCTTTGGTACTAAAAACTCAAACCTAAAGTTTCCCTCTATATCCAAAATTAACGATTACCGGCGATTCTGCCGCCAACCGCCAATCTCCGACGTTCAATTATCAATCTGCCTCTTCTTATTTTCTCTAGGGCGTGTCGTTTTCAGGTCTCTCTCTCTTCTTCTCTCTGCTGGAAAGCTTCGATTTTGGATTGGCGTAGTATTTCACTAGAATATATTCAACTCGAAGCATATTAGATGAATATGGAACATGGTTTTTTGTTTTGAAGCTTTGATGCATTTGATCCTAGCAATTTTATTATGTTATGTTTATCTGTGTTTTTCAATGGGTCTCTGATAATATATGTAATGAGTCATTGGGATGGTGCTCTGGTTATGCTCTAGTTTCATCTGAGATATTAGGTTTCGGATGTTATTTGGCTTGGGCTTTATCTAGTGCATTGGTTTCATGTTTCCTCTAGGCTGAAAAGGCTGCTAAATTTACTTCTTTGTTTGTTATTTAAAATTTATAAAAATTTATTTGAATTCAACTGATAGAGGAAGTTGACTGGGAACTTTAATGTGTCACTAAACAGATGGATCTTGAAGCCAAAAGGTTTGGAAGGGGTAAGTAAGAAGCTTTAGATGATGAGAGGCTTGTTTTGTTTTTTGCTTTCTCACGTGTTTGATTGCTATTAAAAGTTCATGTAATTGAGGCATGGTATCTCATTTTCAAACAAAGATTATAGTTTTCTATGCGTATTTAGTAATTCCTTGTAGATAAGTGTTTCTGGATTCACTGTTTATTAGAGCTTCACGTCTGGAGTAGTACGTGAGGATTAAACGCAGTGATATATTAATTAGAGCTTTACTCAACCCTTTTGATCGTGAAATGGTCACTTGTAAGAGTCCTGAGAAGGTTACCACTCAAACATATGAAAACTATATGCTAAATTTTTTCCGGAGACTTCTATTTGAGAATTTGTATACATAGATTTTCTCTCCCGAGCAGGTGCGATATGGATAGGAAATTCAGTAATAAGAAACGACAGTTAACCTTGTTTCGCCTTGTTAATTTTCGTGTGCTGTTATTAATCTATTCTTAGTCTCTCCTTATGCAAAGTGAATCACTGTAACAGTTAAGGTGCTTTCTTGAACCTTAAATTATTATCAGGTCCGAGGGAACTTGGCGGTGCTGCTGATCTCATAAATCTATATAAGCTTTGGCCTCATCATGAGTACTTCTGCAAGAGATCACTGCCTTTGTCAATATCAGAGACTCATTATTTACATAATGTGGTGGGAGATACATTAATCAGGAAAGGGGAAGGGATGGAATTGGATCAGCTCTTTCAAAGCAACCTTTATATGAGAGAAAAAAATGCACATATACATCCCTTTGATTTGGATGTACTTTGTGAAGCTTTTCTAATAAGGGAAACAACTCCTGTTAAACTGCCTTCTGTAAGACATTTTCTACACCTTCGTTTGCTTAGTTTGGTCAGTCCTCCTTTTCGGGGGTGGGTGGAGGGTTTCCTTTGTCTTGTGAATTCTGTGACACAAAGTCATTTTTGTATGGTGTTAACAGGCAGAGAAGGGGATCCGTACCTCAGTGGTGAAGTCAAAGAGTGAATTAGAAAACAAGGAGAGGAAGTATAAGAAGCACAAAGACAAGGATAAAGATCATAAGAAGCACAAAAACCGTCACAAGGACAACAGTGGTGATGCTGTTAAGAACATAAATGTTGTTTACGGCTTGAAAACTGAGCAGTTGAAGGAACAACAAGATATGGTAAGAACATGACTCTTTTTATTGCCCATGTAGGGATTGCATGGTTCAATTGTTTACCCTTCTCTAATATGAACATAATTAGGCATAGCAGAATAATAGATTTCAGCACCTGATATGGGTGGCCATCTACCAGTACTTTGTGTGTGTCTCCATTGTTTGAGTGCATAATTAGGCATAGCAGAATAATAGATTTCAGCACCTGATATGGGTGGCCCTCTACCAGTACTTTGTGTGTGTCTCCATTGTTTGAGTGTAGGATGTTTCAGAAACAGTTGACAAATGCTGTGCCACTTGTATTTTTCTAGCTTTGAAAGTACACTTTAGTTAGTGCTGCCGTAATCAGTCAATTATTGGTGGTGATAAGTGGTAAATGGTGTCACGGTTGATTTAATTTAAATCAAGAGATAGGGAGGGATTGAGTGATCTTCATCTACTCACTTTTGTGATGGCAATGTTTGTCTCAAATGTAAAGGGTTGCTATGATGTGGGACTCTATGAGAGTGCATTATAACATGACTTTATGCATACTCCAAAGTAAAATAAATTCCTGCCTTTAGGGTTCCGACCTTGTATGAGCTGTGTTAATTTTCCATTTCGAATTTGAGTGGAGTACCCGATTCTGTTTATGTAACATGAAATTGTGCCAATAAAAAGGAAAAAAAAAAGGAAAAAATGTAAGATATCGAATTTTACATCTCCTCTGGATCTTCATGTGTGATCCCTTTTCTTTTTATCTCTTTACAGTTCATTCAGAAGAGGAGGCTCGATGGTTTTGAAGATCCTTCTGTCTTTGGACATAAAAAAGCCAGGTAATGGAGGCAAAAGTTAGAATAGTCTTTGAGAAGGATATTCTGGGTTTTCATTGTTTTGTTATTTGCTTTTCTACTTTTCTTTTAGCAAGTTTGTGTTTGTGTTTTTTGTTTCTTTTCCTTTCCATTTGCTTAATTCTGACTAGTGTTCCTGCCAACTTTGTCATTATCAGAATCCAAAGATAACTGAGACTGGCAGCTAAAGGTGACTTTGCCTCGGTTTGTCTGGATTTTGTAACTCCCAAAAGTCCTCAGTTAAGCTAGCAGTCAATTCATCAAAAGAAAAGGGACAAGGCAAACTATGAAGTATTTTAGACCATATGAACCTAGGATCCTGTTTATCATTGAACACATGTCACATGGTTTATGTGTTAAAATGACAGAAATGTAAAACAATCTTCTTTTGTTTTATTGTTCCAATCTATCTTCTTCCATCTTGCTTTGTGTAATTTCACATCCATGTTTCTTGATGAATACCTGTTTCTCTTAACATCGATTGAGGACAGGAGAAATTTGAGGTGGACGGATGAAAATGCCGGTATCTGCATCTGTAGAAATATCAGTGTTAGGCCTTATGAAATATTGATAGCGTTTTATTAGTAAAAATTATGAAAAGGATAGAAACTCTACTTGACAACGTAGACACTTTGGATGAAATTTTAAGAGTGCTTCTCTTCTCACCTCTATATTTCAGATCCCATTCTTGCTTCATGAACTTATTAATTACTAATTTCCCCTTTACTAAATTGTTAAATTTAACACGAATGAGTAATTTAAAAAAAGAAAAGAAAAAAAAAGGTGATTGCAGTTGTCCTGCAATCATTGACAATGACACCGATCTTAGGATCGACTATTTAACAAGAGTAATGCTACACTTACTACATTATTATCCCACATTTCTATATCACATGATGTGGCATATGCCACATCAATTAAATAAATAAAGTGTATTTTAATAAATAAAATTAGAAAAAAAAAACTAATATTTTACATGGTGTGGTATATAATTGTGGTATAAAAAATGTGGTAAGACTAGTATTATTCATTTAACAAATTGGATTCGAGATATGACCAGCAATGGAAGTTTATAATCCACTATTCTAAAAACCTCGGTCTAAAAAATCTAAAATCTTAAAAGTTTAGGACAAAGGGATTTGAACATTGGCCTTTTAAGGTGGGGCAAATGCTTCCTCTCCTATGGAATTGGCCTTTTAGCATTAGTTTGCCTGAAATCAAGCCCGAGTCTTGTAATTTGGGCACTATGCGGAGGAATTCGCTTTCGTGTCGACGAGAGATATGTGAAGAGAGATAGAAAGGGAGAGACAATGAAATCAATGTCCCATGTGGAGAGTTAGGTTTTCCTAAGAAAATTGGACATCTCAACAACCTATGAAAGCTTAGAGTTAAATACCATTACGACTTGTTGGATTTGGTATTTAACTACTGCTTAAGCACTTTAGTTGCGGGTCATAATCTTGGTATTTGACTTTTCGAACTTCTGAGCTAAGAATAGAGTAATGAGTCACCAACGTTTGCATCAATCGTGTAGTTACTGGTCGGTATCCAGTTTAATATGACAAAGGACAGACAACAAGAAAACAACTGATGATTGGTACGATTTTGCATAATGGCCAGCAGTGAAGCAAAACAATTAGTGCAATTCCACTGGATTGAAAATTGAAGGATTCACTATTATGCCTAAAGATAGGAGCCTAATTATTAAAAAACTACATGAACTGGAGTTTAAAAACACACCCAAAGCTCATTTACAACATAACAAAGAGGCTTTAAACTTCCTATAAATTACAACACTGCCATCGATTTCTTAAAACGAGCCCAACTCCAAAACCTCATGAAAAAATCCAAAACACTCAACATGTCATTTAAGTAATTTAATAATAAAAAATAAATTCAACATGGCCAGTTGTTAATTTTTGAATTTTTTTTTTTTTTGGGTTTGTTTATAAAAATTAAATAGTGTATGATTTATTTATATACAAATTTATAAATAAACCAAATCCTAGACGTATATTTATAGAAAAACCCAAGCACTATTTAAACATAGAAACACACCCAAAATCAACCCCAAAGTCAACTTTTTGGGTGTGTTTATAAATGGATTTTGAGTGTGTAATGATGGATTTTGGGTGTGTTTATATGTTTAAATAGTGCTTGAGTTTTTTTATAATTTAAGCCCCCATTTTGGGTGTTTTAGTGAAACTCGCTAATGCCAAGAAAGAGTATATAACTAAATATATATTGAAGAGTTATGCTGCCGATGGATTATCCGTCGTCTAGTGGTGCCACAAAACACCAGTAGGCATTAAATACCACACCAAACCACCACAGGAATTCCACACAACACTCGTATATAAAACCTCGATTCCAAGTGGAAAACTCAACTCATCAACAACCATTTTCAATTTCAGTACTGACTAGTTTCTTCATCCACGTGATGGGTAGCCTCAAATTTGAGCATCCACAAGAAAACTATTCTGCCCACATGACCACTAGCCGTCTAGACCCTGAGGAATTCAGAAGGCAAGGCCACATGGTCATAGACTTCATTGCAGATTATTACAAAACAATTGAAAAATACCCAGTTCTTAGCCAAGTCCAACCGGGCTATCTCAAAAAACGCTTGCAGAGAATCTGCCCCATACGACCCTGAACCCGTTGAAACCATCCTCCAAGATGTTCAGGATCACATTGTCCCTGGCCTAACACATTGGCTAAGCCCTAACCACTTTGCCTACTTCCCTGCAACTATCAGCACCGCAGCGTTCCTCGGCGAAATGCTCACCACTGGTTTCAATGTTGTGGGGTTCAATTGGATGGCATCCCCAGCTGCAACTGAGCTTGAAACCATTGTCATGGATTGGCTTGGAAATATGCTCAAACTTCCCAAGTCTTTTCTTTTCTCTGGCAACGGCGGCGGTGTATTGCAAGACACTACTTGTGAGGCCATTGTTTGTACCATGGCAGCTGCCAGGGATCAAATGCTAAGCCAAATTGGTAGAAAGAATATTGGGAAGCTAGTTGTGTATGGATCAGACCAAACACATAGCGCGCTTCAAAAAGCTTCTCAAATTGTTGGGATTCACCCAAAGAATTTCAGAGCCATAGAGACCACAACATCAACATCATTTGCACTATCACCTGAGGTGCTAAAATCGACTATTTGTTCAGACATAGAAGCTGGGCTTGTCCCATTGTTTCTATGTGCCACAGTGGGAACAACCGCAATAACAGCCGTTGATCCATTAGGGCCACTCTGTGAGGTGGCAAAAGAACATGACATGTGGGTTCATGTGGACGCTGCATATGCTGGAAGTGCTTGCATTTGTCCATAGTTTCAATACTTTATCGATGGCGTTGAGGATGCAGATTCATTCAGTCTCAATGCGCACAAATGGTTCTTCACAACCCTCGACTGTTGTTGCCTCTGGGTTAAGAATCCAAGTGCTTTGGTGAGCTCACTTTCGACAAATCCGGAGTTTCTGACGAACAAGGCCACAGATTCGAAGCAAGTGGTGGACTACAAGGACTGGCAAATAGCCTTGAGCAGAAGGTTCAGGGCCATGAAATTATGGCTTGTGCTTAGAAGCTATGGTGTGGGCAACCTTAGGAACTTTCTTAGGAGCCATGTGAAAATGGCCAAGATTTTTGAAGGGCTTGTGGGGATAGACAAAAGGTTTGAGATTGTGGCCCCTAGGCATTTCTCTTTGGTCTGTTTTAAAGTTTCTCCATCAGCAATTAGCAAGGCTAATCCAAGCCTAAGTGATCATGATAATGGTAAGCTTAAGGCACATAATTATGAGTTGTTAAATGGTGTAAAATGTGTAGTTAACGAGGTGAATAGCAAGTTGCTGGAGGCGATTAACGGGTCGGGTCTGGTGTACATGACCCATGCTGTGGTTGGAGGGATGTATGTGTTACGTTGCGCCATTGGAGCAAGTCTCACTGAGGAAAAGCACGTAGCCATGGCTTGGAAGGTGGTGCAACAGCATGCAGATGCCATCCTTGGAACCAAGATTGTTGTGGATCAAACTTAGATAATTTGTCTAGTTTTTATATATCAGTGCAATTGTCATTTGTGGTTTTTGTTTTCCGAAATAGATTGTCCTGGTGTTATGTATTAAATATCATTATCTAGAAGTATCTGAATTCTTTGTTTTCTGAAATAGATTGTCCTGGTGTTATGTATTAACTTTGCAGAAGAAATAAAAAAATAAAAATCACTACGGAAAAAAAAGGACAATAGCCACTGTTGGCTTAGCCACAACAAACCAACAATGTCTATTTTGTGGTAAGCTTATTCATTTGAACACATATTGGCTACATGTAGAGCCAAGTTAATATCAGAGTTAATAATTTGAATCTGTGTGCAGGCTCTTTCTCCCACCTAACCACATAGTGCGCTATATATGGAGCCAAGTGTACATCGGTGTTAATAATTTGGGTTTGTGTGCAGCGGAGTTAGTTAGGTCGATGACAAGGTGTGGCTGGTCAGTCGGGTCGGTGGCCACACCCAATCAAGGTGTGGTTGGTTTGGGTTTGGTTCGGGGTCTCGCTATGATACTAGCAAACCAACAATGTCTATTTTGTGGTAAGCTTATTCATCTGAACACATACTGGCTACACGTAGAGCCAAACTAACATCAAGTGTGGTTGGTTTAGGTCTGGTTCGGGGGCTCGCTATGATACTATGTTAAATTCAGAGAAATGGGTCAGCAGCCCACTACTAGCAACACTGATATTGTCCCTAACTTAACCACTTACAAAGCCCAGTAGGTGTAAGATTTTATCACAAAAGGCCTCAGTGATATTAGGAGTGGAACCACTTATTATAAGTTATAATTTATTTAATCAAGTTTCCGATGTGGGACTTTATATTCTTCAACATGACCCACAACAAATTTGGCCACAAATTGGTTATGTTGTGGAAAAACTAGTATTGGCCATGGTGTATCCATAGCTAAAATTGAGCTTTTCTAGTAGTGAATGCAAAGGAAAATGGAAGAAAAAGGTTAGAAACGATATTATCTATTTTACACTATTCTTAGATTAACCTCGAGGTCTGTTGTCGTATATGCTTATATTTGCCATTTGGTTGGGGCCTGAAGCTTGTTGTAGCTTAGGACGGTGATGTTTTGGTACATGGCAGCATACTCATGGTCGAATAGCATGTTGGAAATTTTTGCATGTTCAGGGTATATCAGAAAATACAATAACTATTCGACCTTTAAAGTTTGCCTGAAATCATGCTTGAGTCCTGCAATTTGTGTGTCAAACAAAGTATGTCAAATATTCAGTTATACTCATATTTGTTCATCTTTTATTCTTCTCTAATATGGAGGTATTTATATAAGTACAAAGATGTGTTAACCCTAAATAAAATAGAAAATATATTTAAATTACAATATGAAATAAATCTC